CATCTTTATTCGATATGGGATTATATCCCTTAACATGCCCTCGCAAAATGGTTGCTCGTCTGAGCAGACCAATCTTGAAATTCGTATGCTCACTTTTGGATTCTTAATCAGATCGAATTGCTCGTTAAAGCTTAACGGGCTCTGATACCATGTTAAGATTTGGAGTTCCATTTTAAAATGTCAACCTTGTTAAGAGGAGTAGCCCAAATCCTTATAAATTGGTCTATGTTTTCATCTTTATTCGATATGAGATTCTATCCCTTAACATTATTTAAAATCGTTTTTATTTTTATCAGTACATTTTGAGAGACCCACAATCTATTTACCACTTATTTTTATTTATTTATTATTTAAATTATTTATAAACACTTTCCAAAAATGCTTAACATAGTATATTTTTACTTTTGAAGTAAAAAAAAATGTCTTTTAAGTAACTATTATCTCAATATCAAAATAAATAACTAACTTATTTTTAAAGTTTTCCAATTTTCACTAATAAAAAACTTATTTAGTTTAAAATTTACTCATTTACTTATAAGTATCCCCGAATATTGACTAATATAATTTATTAAACATATTGAAGAGATTTATCTTTACATCATAAATTATATAACAAATAAGAAAAGTTATGGTCATTCGAGAGCGAACTCCCATCAAAACTGAAATAAGTCGAGTAGGATAAGTGATTGGGTGTCCCCTAGTGAGCTGAACTTATACGAAAATCTTTTCTGCTCGATTCATATTGACATTTGCATAATATTGAAACATCAAAACAGAAGATTGTGAGATTAAGAAATATCGAATACAAAAAGTTAATTTGTATCAAGGGTAATTAGCACATAACATCCATACCTTTCATTGTTATCGTGAAAAACGTCCATACCTTTCATTTTTAAATATTTTCACCATTATTTTCACATTTCATTGCACAAAATGTCATTTTCATCTACTTTCTCAATTAAAAATTTTAAAATGACGAATATAGCCTTATCTTTAAATTTAAAAAAAAAATTAATTGCAACCATAGTTCCAATTTTTTCTTTTAGAAAAGCACAAATAAGTCAAATAAATTATTAAAATAGTAATTAGTGCATAATGTCCCTATCTTTCACTGTTATTGCAAAAAA